ACCGAGCTCTTGTGTTGCCAAATAAGCGCCTTGTCCCATTGTTGGGGCGTGAAAGTCGTGTCCAATCGTTCCTCCCATTGCCTGCGGAACGTTGTGTTTGTCGTTAGATGTCCGGTCAGAAGGTGTTGGTACAGTGTAGAAATAGCATTCCCCAGTACAAGCCTCTTCTCACAGCATTCCTCCAGCCAAGTGCGTTCCCTGTGGAGTTGTTCCTTATTCCGTATACTATCGTAATAATGTTTCACTTGTAAGTAACGAAAAACTGCCAGGGGTGTCCGGGGCTTTCCCTCTAGCAATGTGTCTAGAGTCTGCAGTGTTCCGTTCTGTAAGATCGTGTGGATTGGTATATATTCGCGACCTTCCGCAAAGGGCCACGTTGTTGGATGGAATCCACCCCCTATTGCGTTATTATTGGTAATTGAAAGCATCGGACTGGGCGTTGGCGAGATATGAGGTGCCTCCCTCATGGAGTTCCAGCTATATAGCGTTTGTTCCATCGGTCCCTCTTTAGCGACTCTTTGTGTTTTTCTGGTTATCCCTCCCCATATGGTTGGCTGTACAGGGGTTGCAGGGCCCTCTCGTGCCATCGCCACCCATTGTTTTTGTTGAGGCTCCGCGTGCCACTCAATAATTCGCTGCAGAACCGTGGCCTGGTGGTACTTCTTAAAATCAGGTAGCGCTAGGCCACCGCGAGATCTGGGTAGGCAGAGTAGGTCGTATCTCAGTTGTGCCCTCTCTCCCCGCCATACGTATCGTATGACCGCGGATCTCAAAGCGGAGAAGAAGGTTGCCGGCAGGGCAAGAGGTATTGTTTGGAACAGATATAGCAGTCTCGGTAGGATGTTCATCTTGAGAACTGCTATCCGTCCGTGCCATGAGACGTGTGGGTATGCCCATCTTTCCAAGTCTGTCATTATCCTCTTCAGGAGAGGGGCAAAGTTATGCCGCTATAGGTCTTTAGGGTTCGGGGTTATCCAAATCCCAAGGTACTTCATTTTTTGGAAGCACCACTGGAATGGAAACAGTGACTCCAGAGCCAGGAATTCATCATCGGGCATGGATACGTTTAACACTTCACACTTCGACAGGTTGAGTTTGAAGCCGGAGATCGAGCCGAATTTCTCGAACTCCGCCAACAAGCAAGGCATCGCGATCCGAGGGCTGGTTATGTAAAAAAGGAGATCATCCGCGTATGCGGCGACCTTATGGGTCGTGTCCTGCCACGTAAAGCCCCCGATGTCCGGGTGTTGGCGTATCTTCTGAAGCAGGGGTTCCAGCGATATGGCAAAGAGTAGCGGGGATAGGGGCATCCTTGCCTTGTGCCATTGGAAATTTCAAAATCTCCGGTGAGTGCTCCATTGACGCGTACCGCGGCCCGCGGTTTGTCATATAAGGCCCGGATCATCGTAAGGAATCTGCGTCCCGCCCCCATCTGGTCGAGGGTAGCGAACATGTAAGGCCATTTCACCCGGTCGAATGCCTTCTCGGCATCCGTGGAAATCAAGAGAAGGGGTTGTCGTGTATTCCTCGCTTGGTGTTGCAGCGCAAAGAGTCGTAGGGTACTGTCCCTTGCTTCTCGTCCGGGTATGAATCCCGTTTGATCCTTGTGTATAAGCGAAGGGAGAATGGATTGGAGTCTGGTAGCTAGCACCTTTGTAAAAAGTTTTGTATCCACGTTTAATAATGAAATCGGGCGGTAGCTGCCACAGAGCATGGGGTCCTTTCCGGGTTTGGGGAGGACAGTTATGGTAGCCGCCAGGGATTCAGCTCCGAAATGGCCTCCGTCCGCGACAGCGTTGAGGGCCTTCGTGAGCCACGGCAGGGTTATCGATGGGAACGTTTTATAGTAACCCGTGGAAAATCCATCCGGGCCTGGTGCTTTCCCCCTCTTGGCCGCCTTCAAGGCCGCCGCTAGTTCCTCTTCTGTGATCGGGTTTTCTAGTTCGGTCGCCACATCCGGCTGGATTGTTGATCCTATCGCCTCGCGGAGGTATTCTTGTGTGCGTGCCGCTATCGCTGCTGACTGCGACTGTGTTTCCATCGCATCTAAGTTGTATAAGGATCTGTAGAATGACTGGAATTCCCCCGCAATGTCCGTCGGGAGGCCAGACATCCCGCCCGATGTAAGGTGTAATTTGCGAACCTGGGTGCGGGGTGTCTGGCCTTTTAGTAGGCGGGCAAGGAATCGTCCCCCCTTATTGGCATGGGTGTAAAAGAATGCCTTAGAGCGTTGCAGGGTGCGGTGGTGGCGTTTCACCAGGAGCTCCTTTAGTTGTCGTCTGGATTGCATCAGGTCCCGGTATATCTCCATGAGGTGTGACCTTTTATGCTGAGCTTCCAGATCTGTGATTCGCCTGTAGAGGTTAGCCATCTCGCTCATCGCCGCCTTCTTCTTATGTGAGGCTATGCGTATGAGCGTGCCCCGCAGGACGCTTTTATGGGCCTCCCAGAGCGATATTGGAGAGATGTCTGGGGTCGCGTTATCCTGAAAGTATTGAGTCAATGCCTGGGAGATTTGTTCCCGTGTGCCAGGGTCCAGGAGGAGGGACTCGTTAAGTCTCCACATCCACACGGAAGGTCGAAAAAGTGGGGACTCGAGCTCCACTACAACTGGGCCGTGATCCGACCACGTGGCCGGTTCTATCTTGGCCGAGATCAGGCTCGATAGCCCAGTTTGTCTAATAAAGAGGTAGTCGATGCGGGAGTATCTATCGTGAAGCGCGGAGTAGTATGTAAAGTCTTTCACTGATGCAATCCGCTAGATCCATGTCGCCCAGGGCTCTTCGGATAGCTCGTATATGTAGTTGAGTGACGCTACTGTGTCCCGTAGAGGAGTCCAAAAGAGGATCCAGCGGGACATTAAAGTCGCCTCCTAGGATTAGGATGCCCTCGGAGAAGTCCTTTAGTTTTGCCAGGGTGCTTTTCAAGAACATGGCTTGTCGTTTGTTGGGGACATAAATGTTGGCGAAGGTGTATATCTTACCCGCTATTGCCCCCTTTAAAAAGAGGTACCTGCCCTGAGTGTCCCTAATGCTGTCCAGTTCCTGGAGCTCCAGTCCGGCGTGTATCAGTATTGCAACCCCCGCCTTCCTTGCCGTAGGGTGGTTGCAGAAGTGGTTTGTTGGGTACGATTTATTCTGGAGCTTGGGTGCCGCCCCGGGACGAAAGTGCGTCTCCTGTAGCATTGCCACCGATATATGTCTTTTCTTAAGTTCTCGCAGGAGGTGGGACCTCCGTTCCGGGATGTTCAATCCCCTGCAGTTAAGGGTGAGGACAGATATAGGAGCCGGTCGATAGGCCATGGTTTCTCAGGTGCGTGTGGTAAGCGATGTATACCCAAATTTCTACTCACCCCTGTCTGACTCTCGTCACCCCGCGTGGGCGCAGGCCCCCGTGGCAGGCCAATTGGAACGGGGAGGGATGGAGACCGTCTTAGGCGGTAGTCAGGCGGATAGAGGGTAGGGTAGGGGTGGTGGGGAGCGAGAAGGGGAAGGATGACCAAAGGGGGTAGAAGAGAGCAGGGATAGGGGTAAGTTGGCAGAGAGAGAGAAGAGAAAGAGAAGAAAGGTGAATGTCCCGTCCGATGAACGGTTTTTCTGGGGTAAGGGGTACCCCTCGTGTGCCACCCCAACGAGTGGGGTGACTCGTGCTACGGCGGGCAGCCCAGGGGGCACATCCAGGTAACCAGACCTATGGACGGTGACCCACTGTGGCCCGTCGTGTGTCTTGAGCACGAGTGTGGGTTGAGGTGTGCGAGTCAGTACTCGACCAAGTGGTATCCAATGGATGTGAGGAAGGCAGAGCCGTCCACATAGTACCCCGTGTTTGCTGGATACATATTTCTCATGAAGCGATTTAATGCATAGATGAACAGTTAAGAATAACAGAACAACAGCGCGTGTGGCAACTAAACAGCGTAATAACAAGCATACGACAATCAACAGATTCCATCCCGCCCGTCAGTCCCAAGACTCCCAAGGATCGTCCCCCCCCTCCCTCCCGCCATCGTTTTCACAGCTCCCCTTATAGAGGTAATGCTCACAGTGTCCGTCCTGAGGTCGGGAGGTCAATGTTGGTCATGTGAGGTGGTCCCCCGTCCGCCCCACGCCCCCTCCCCAGTCGTGTATGTACAGGTAGGGGGCCCGTGTCTGTCCAGTTTCATATTGTATTGTCCCCCCTCCCTCCCCTGTAGCCCGCCCAGCTCCAATGCGTGTAGTATGAGGTGGGAATAGGCAGCATGCATCTTAGCACCAAAGGAGGGTCCCCCCCCCCGCGTGACCCCCCCGCGGGCGCTATGTGGCGTGCCCAACCCAATTATCACCCGGGGGAACAGATTTATGCAGAGCAGTCCAAAGTCTCATTGCTAGGCCTTAGTACAAGGGACCTATAGCTGGATCATAATGGTGGGTTTCAGGTTGTGATGTCTTCACGCTATATGAAGCACAGATGAAGTGTCCAGGAGCGTTTGAGATTTGCGCCTTTGTCCTCACTGCCCATCCAGTTTCCCCACTCCCCATTGTATCCCCCACCCAAACCAAAGGAGGAGAGAAAATAAAAATAAATTTTTTTAGAAAAATAAAATTGTTTTTATACATAAGGGTATCCCCATCTACCCCCCCTCCCGGCCAAGTGAATCCTCACATGTGCCATGTCCCGAGTTGGGGAGGGATGGGAGCCGAGTGCCGGGTGCGTGCGTGAAGGTTGTGGCATGCGGGCATAAATTTCGAATGGGGCCATGGGGAAGTGTCCCTTTATCAATCCACTCATTGCTGCTCTGCGTGCAAACTTTCCAGAGTTACCCCGGTTGTGGGTTAGCGGCTCTTTCAGGAGTCAGTTACGGGTGGGAACATGCGAGCCACGCAAGCAGGAGGAACGGGGAGGGGGGGAGGGGGGCTGCTGCCCTGTTCGCATGGCAACGGACTGAGAATCTGGGGTCGCCTTGACGGGATAATGGGGGAGTCGGGGTACGGTCAGGGAGCCCCCCTCTCCGGGAGTGTTACTCACTCAGCCTGGCCTCCCGGGTCCATGCGCCGCCTGGGAAGTTGCCGAGGAGGGGATCCTTCCCTGCACCTCCGTGGAGCTCTCTGTGGTCGCGGTACTTGTCCTACGGGTCCAAGGACCCAGTTTGTGACCGGGATGGGTGGTATCCCCAAAGTCTCCAGGAAACATGGTATCTCCGCCGGCCATCTTGCAGATATCCAGCCGTCTTGGTGGCGGGCCATCAGTGCGAACGGGAAGCCCCATTTGTAGTTGACGTGGCGGTCACGTAGGGCAGTTGTGACCGGCCTCAGGGCTCTCCTGGCGGTAAGTGTGAGGGGGGAGAGGTCGTTATAGAGGGATACCTGGGCGTTTCGGTACGTCCATTCCGGGCGTTCACGGGCCCTCTTCATGATAGAGTCTTTGACGGGGAAGGAGTGGAGGCAGCAGATGAGGTCCCTCGGCCCGTCTTCAGGTAAACGGGGTCGGGTGGCTCTGTGCGCCCGTTCAAATTCAAACTGATGGGGTGCCTCTTCCTGCAGCAACATGTTGAAGAGGCCTGTCAGAACCTCCTCCGCGTCTTCCTCCCCCTCTGCCTCTGGGACCCCGCGGACCCGGATGTTGCACCTGCGGCCTCTATTGTCGAGGTCCTCCAGATGTCTTCTCATGTCGAGGAGCATTTCTCCTTGCCGTGAGACCGCCACATCAGTAGCTGAGATCCTGTTGGATTGGGCCTCCGTGGAGTGTTCAAGGGCTTCTATGCGGCTTCCTTGAGCGGTAACTTCCGTTCTGATGCCCGCCATCTCCGCCCTCAGGGCGTCCTGTATCGTGGTGGTGAGGGTGAGCAGGTCAGTTTTAGTGGCCATAGATGCTGCAATGGATCGGAGTTCTTCGCTTATCCGGTCCAGGGCAGAGTGTTCTGTGCCCATGGACGAGGCAGGAGATGACGGTGCCGACCTCGGGTCTACCGCCTCCCCTCCAGACCCAGGAGTCGGCTGCAGAAAGGAGTCCATGGGACCCTGAGATTGGGTTTGTTGGGAGCCCCTCGGTGTCTGTGGGGGCTCCGTGCGCCTGTTGCGACCCATCCGTTGCCTGTGGCTATATTTAATCGCCGTTTTAGGGGTGTTGTGGAGTGGAGCTCACAGATTAAGCTGCCATCTTGGTCCAGGTCCTGGCCACGCCCCCTCAATTTTGCTATTTCATGACCAAAAGTATTGTTCCAACCTTTACGTTTTTGGCTTTGCTTCTCCCTCCCTTGTTTCTCATTTCGTTATTATGCTTTAATGCTGTCATGTTTTCATCTTTGTACTTTTCAGGTGGGCATTTCAGGCTGTATTTACCTGGTCTTGTGGTTAGCATTCCCTGTCTGACCTGATTTGGTGCCTTTCATTGCTATGTGATGTCTAACTTCTGTTACACCCTGTCTTTTGTGTTTTTCAGAGTAATTTTCCATGGTAGTGAGCTGTTGTTGGATCTTGCTCTACCAAATGCGTTCTTGGTTAAAGTCTGGGCTGCTCTTCGTCTCGCTGTTGGAGATGACACAGTTCTGGTTTTTGGTTCTTACTTGATGCTTATGCTCTCTTGTTATTGGGCTGTTGGTTCATCAAAGAAAGAGGAAGTTTGAGGTGTGATCCAGGATGATATTGGAATAGCTATTCACAAGTGGGTGGAGTTTGGGAGGTAACATGTTAAGTTTATTTCTATCGTTTTTTTTTTCTTTGCGGCTGTGTTAAAGTAAAGAAAGAGAAATGCATAATACTCACCTTCGTGTCCTTCATAAAATCATGGATTTTCATCATGAAATAGCAGAATTGTGTAATTGTTTTCAGCTGCATCTTCTGAGCACAATAGCCTCAATGTATGCCTTTGCCACTATCTTGTAATCCACAGTTCCATATAAAAGACCGGACCCCTACAGACTCAACCCTACAAACAACTCCACAACCCTACAACTCAACCCCACAAGCAGCATCCTTTGAGGAAACCGGTCTTCTATTGGACATTGTATTTTTTGTGAGGCAATGTTAAAATTCTATAAGCTTCCTCGGTAGTAAATTTCCTAACATTAGATAACAAATTACTGTATTTTCAACTAAACAACATTAAACTTTTTTTTCACTTTTGTAAAAAAAATTCAAATTGTTTACTTTTTTTACATTTACAGTTTTACAGGTTTAAAACTTTGTTTTTACTTTTAAATCCTTACTATCACAACACTAAACTCACTAATTTTCCACTAACTACCACCCACCTTAACTAACTAAATAATCAAATACAAATTAATAAATTTGAAAAAAAAAATATATTCAAACCATAAGGGTTCAAAATTCAAGATGAACCCTTAAGGTGTAAAAAAAACCAAAAACCAAAAAACAGAAAAGAACAGTAAAGTACTTTAATTTTTATCTTTATCAATCAAGCATTGATCAAACAGCAAGGAAAGAATTCATTTCTTGGACAGGAGGGTAAAATGTCATCCAGCTCTCCACTTCACAATAGGAGAAGGAGGTAGGCAGATCGGATGTCTTGGCAGCACTGTGACTTCCTGTCACAGTAATCACATTTGTTGGGACATCGGGATCTGCAGTTGCTCGTTTGCCTCAGACACTGAGGCATCCAGCAACAGCATTATTCTTGCAATTGCCAATACTGCAGTTATCTGGGGTTAGTTTTAGCACAAGACAGAATTATCAAATCATGGATCCTTGAGAATAACAGAATAAGACCGTCATGCATTGTTAAGCAGTTTAATGACTTCAGGTTTCTCTCAGTATAGTCTGGATAAACTGATCAGATCTGATCAGCATTATTATTTTTTAGTTATGATACTTGATGGGAAAAACATGTAAAACACATATAATAAATGGCCTGTTTATATTGTATACTGTTCTAATACTGGGTGGAAAATCAATTTCTGACAAAACTACCTGACATTTTTGTGTCATGGATGTAACAAAATGTTAAACACAATGCTTTTGGAGAGTCTGGTCCATGCTGTAAATTTCCCGTTCCACCACACCCCAATGGTGCTCAAATGGAGATTTACTTAAATCTGAATGGCTCTGAATCAAATTGGGCAATTTGCTACTGTATGTGGCCATTTGGACTTCAAAACCTGGGCATTGTTGAAGGAATTCATGAATGTCTGATTTATGTAAATCAGAACCTGAACAGACCTGAATTAGGTCTAGATATCAGCCGAACCAAATGCTGCCAGATGACTGAAATCCAGGCCAAATTAATCATATCCAAGCCCTGATAAAAAAATAAATCTAGCACTTCAAATTGTTAAAAAAAAACCTTGGTGGCTCAAAGGTTAATTGGTGGTGCAAGGGTTAATCATGCATTGGTTGGCCAGTGCTTGCTTCTCTCGAGACTTGGCCATCAGAGCAATATGATTGGTTTGCTTACTAGCCAACATATCAAAGTGGTTTTGTCATAATGTTGAAAAGCTTTGGAAATTTCCCATGCTTTACGAGCACTGTCATAGCGTGGGAAAAAGCACTCCTGTGGCTTGCCCTCCATGAGTAAAGATTTATTTTTTTGTGGCATGGTTACATTTTTTCTGGCATTTTGTTTTGGTAATCATGCAGTTTTATTTGGCCTTGCTTTGCACTGAAGAACAGAAGACTTAGAAGAAAGAAGACTTCTTTTTTTATTTTTATTTTTTTATAATTCTTTATTTTTGTTGTGCATATTGTACCAAAAGGTTAATAGTGTAAGACAATGTCATGGCATATAATAAGAGCACAACATTTTTGTTTAAAGGAAACCGAGTGTGTCAGGCTAGGCAACTGCGCAATTACAAACACGTTATATTAACTAAAGCTAGTCTAGATTTGGGTGCACCAGACGTTATCTAGATTTAGTGGATATACCACTGGTTGTGCCTTTGGTACCTCATTTATTTTTATTTATTTGTGTGCATTTGAGTATAGCAGGCTTGCAGAGCCACATCCTATCCAGTAACCAATAAGAAATCATACAGGTTATGACAGTGTTGTGGCACTTCTTAAACATGCACATTTAGTTTTTTGAGACAAGGATTATAAGTGGCATACGCATGTACATAAACAAAATAATTTCTAAAGACATTGTAAGAATGCAATAGGAGAGAGATACATTAAAATAGTCTCAAGACTTATGTTAGGGGCAAGTTATCCTGCTGACTAGAGGTTGTTGATGTTAAGCCTAAACCGTGGGGCATAAGTCAGCTGGTTGTGGCTTATACTAAGCGGACAAGCAGTGGTAAGCAGTCTCTGGGGACCGTGGTGTTGGAGCCGGGAGGGGTGGTTTAGGGCCAGCTATGGCCTTTGCGGGTCTGATCTATGGTTTGGCTCGGTAGGCCTGTTAGTTGGGGGGAAGAACTAGAGAATAAAAATAAAATGAAAAATAAAAAATAAGAATGAAAAATAGTTCAAGGCAAAGTCTGACCAACTTCGAACCACAACTTGGGTAAGTTTCGTTTATTTAGGCAGAGAGGTGCCGGTCTCTTACTGTTCACTGTTAGCGGTTGCAGTGGCGGGTGCTGCTGGTATAGCTTTTTTCGGGGGGGGAATGGCTTGATCTTTGCCATGTCCCAGTGGTGGGCCGCTGATGTCGTCCGTTGGTCACCAGGCTGGACAAGGGCGTCCCCTGGAATGCCTAGTTTGGTGAGGAGTGTGGGGGCCTCGGATATGTCTGAGGTTGTGTGTACCACTTCTTCCTGCCTCACTTGCAGTTCGCGTGGGTATCTCCAGCTGTATTCTATGCCATTGTTGCAGAGCAGGACTCTGAGGGGTTTCATCGTTTTTTGGAGAGTGTTTGGATGTCCCGCTAGAGTTGCGCTAAGGTTTGGGTGTGCTGCTCTGAGGTAATTTCCACTGTGTCGATGCGGCCTACCAGGCCTGTGATGTCAGTGTGCAGCAGGGCCACATCCGTCTGTAAGGTTTTCTGGAGGGCACTTAGCATGTTCTGGAGCATTTCTGCCATCACTGGTCTAGAGTCTCCAGTCTTGGGCTTAGGTGGAGGCTGTTATGCCAGCACATGGCCACCATTTTCATCATTCAGGGACAGCTCCTCAGAGTTTTCTGAAAAGTCGTCCAGGTCCGCGGCCATCTTGGGCCCACATGCACCATGCACTTGGCGGAGGAGATCACCAATATTCATGCCCGGTTTGGGTCTGTCGGGTCTCAGCTTTTTAGTCTTCCTGCCCATGTTTGTCAGGGACTGTGGAGCTTCGTTAAGGGGGCTTAAAAATCTTTTGTTATCGCCAGGTTTGGTTATATTAGCCCGGAGATCAGCGATTGTGCGTCCGCTCAGGTCAGTTGCTTAGCTCTGCCCCCCAGAAAGAAGACTTCTGATGCTAAGTATATATATTTTTTACAGCTATTAGATTTTTTTTTTGTTCCCCCTCCTCATTATTAAGGTAAGGGGGGTAGGTAGGGACTTTATTTTAGGCTTCTTCCCCACCATATTGGGGCTTTGACCCGCTGGCATGGATGGCGACTAAAGAGAGGATAATTGGTGGACTTTAATTTTTTATTATACATATTATTTTAGGGTGGTGGCTGGATGATTGGGACCTTTAGCCACCCAAGGGGGAATTACTATTATTGTGGAGGGGTGGACAATGGCACTTAGTGCCATGTTTGTAGATACATCTTGAGATGCTTGAGATGGTATTCTGCTGCTGCAGGCCAAACACTTAAAAGTTTGATGTGTCGTGTGTTCAGTGATGCACTTCTGACTAGCATTGTTTTAAAGTATGGCTATTTTATCTACTCTTGTCTTTCTGTCAGCATGAACCAATAGCTATTCCCTTCTTACTTTTCTCATTGAGAAGGCATTTTTCCTACAAAACAGCCGTTTTCTTTTAATTTTGTTACCATTCTCTGTTAAGCAGAAACAGTCCAAGAAATCAGATACTCAAACAATCACATTTAGACCCAACAATCACTACAGCGTCAATGTTATTTAGATAACATATCATCTTAATTCTGATATTGGTCTGAACAATAACTGAGCGTCTTGACTATAGGCTTCTATATGGATACTACGTGAAATTTGTAATATTTTAAAAAAGTGTGGCGAAAGTAACCTCACC